GGTGGCAGCAGCATTTTCCACACTAGCGTGTCAGTTAGGTCGAATTCAGTCGCTGTATGGAGGAGAATCCTAGCGACCAGCTGCTCTGATCGGTCGTTTTCCATGGTTTCTCCTACCAACACCAAGCGAATGTCTGAGCAGAACCCTAACAAACGGACCGCGCGCGATCGTTCCTACCTGTTCCTTGTCCTATCCTCACCGCTTACACACAGTTACACTAACATGCACTACACTACCACACATGCCGGGAGACTGGTCGGGAGCTTAGAGCTTTTCCCGGCTGAGGCGGCGCCCCGTTAGTGGGAGATACCTATTTGGGGAAAACCCACTAGCCAACGGTAGGTGTCACCATACAGCAGGGAAAGCCTCATCGCAAGCAAAAACATGTACTACACATACGAGACAAATGACCCTAATAGTTGACGCGCTCGGAATCCCTAACAATTAATCAATAATAATTAAAAAATTCATTATTTTAATTTATCTAAAACTAATATACGTGGAATATTGATATATTCTTAATCATCGTCTCGTTTGAGCTTTCCTTTCTCCTCTGCTGAAGCAAGAAATTATCTAAATATTTAAAAAAAAAATACTTGACAATCATTTACTTGTCTCCTAACATTTCACATTTCATGCGTACGCAGTATAGAGCTCCTTTCAACACGGTGAAGACGTAGATACAACAGTGTGGTTCCCGTTGATTTCTGTAAGTCATTTATATAACACTTAGAAAGCGGACAGCAGGAGTAAACATCGCTCCGCATTCATCTTCTCTGCCCGTCCACTTTCCTTTGTGTTCTCAAACTGGCGATGCATTCTTCAGCTAAGAGAGCGTTCTCTGTAGATCTGCTGGCAGAAGGGAGCTTTTCAAAGAAATCACTTGTAACAGAAGAAGAACCAAACGTCTATTAACAATCTAACACTTTTCAGTTGTGTCGAATATACTAATAAATTTAATTTCGCAAATTCATTACCCATAAAATGTGGAGGAAATTTTCATAAATCTATAAGAAATAAATAGGAACCGTGAGAAATAGTTTGATTTTGGCAATTCCCGAAGAAAATTGGAAATATTTGAATATTTGAAAATTTTTGTTGTTAAGATCGTTTTAATGATACAATGTGATGTTTTTTTATATAACTTTCTGATTGTGCAGGTTATCGCTTTTGGATTACTTAAATTAAAAACAACACAGTTTCCTTATTTTTGCAGCCAAATGAATCATTACCTGAATTGTTGAATTTTAACAGAACACTCATTTTGCCCGTTCAGAGGATGTATTTTGAAACATAGTACACACTTATCTTTTCGTCACTGGAACCTTGCATATTCTACATTTCACGATTCTACCTTCAATATTTTTGTGCTATGCGTTGACATGTCAGTCAGTCAGTCAAATGCTCTCTTTTTTACAACTTAACATATAAAGTTTGGTATGAGTAGTCAAGGCTTCAGACCACTTACAGAAGATATAATTGGAATTCCTGGATTGCGGGCAGACATTCAAATTGTGTTTTTGTTACAATTTTTGTTTAATTATAAATATTTATTAATTTCTTCACATAGCTTGAATTGTAGCCTCGAATTGTAGCCTTGAATTGCTCTGCTGTGTGCAGCGCGCAACCCGGCGCGCGTCTGAGCTACAACTGCGCGGGCACGCTGATCGCGGAGCGCTACGTGCTGACGGCGGCGCACTGCGTCGTCCGCCGCACGTCGCAGGTGGTGTCGGTGCGGCTGGGCGAGTACAACACCGCCACGCCCATCGACTGCAAGTGAGGAGCCACAACGTCTCTCGAGCGCACAGATGCCGCTCGGGGGAGCTAGCGCGATGATTTGTATGGTTTTCTTCCCCTTTTCACTTCTTTTTTTTCTTTTACTCACTCTTCTGCTCTCTTTTTTTCTTTTCACAATTTCCTTCTTTTCCCTTTTATTCTTTTTCTACTTTTTTTTCTGTTTTCTTCCTTTTAACTACCTTGTTGTTCTACTTATTGTTATCGTTTTCCTTCGTTTCATCGCAAGGTGCTAGAAATCCTAGTGCATTTTGGTCTGCTCCAAAATCTTCTGTTATTATTTTTTGTCAGTGACTTTTGTTGTATACTCGTGTAGTATAGCGTTTGACGCTCTCCTGAATATATACTATTACAAACAGGAGCTGCTCCAGAAAATATGAGCATTTCAAGGAAAGGGACAATTTCAGTTTGGACCCCTCAAAAATATTTTTGAAATATATTTTTAAAAATAACTCGAAATAAAAAACGTTCTAGAATGTTCATAGTGAGATTATTTCCATAGCTTTGATTATATATTATGGCAATATGACGATTTATATTGAATAAATTGAGTAGAACTAAAAAAAATGTCTTCACTTCGGGGGAAGCTTCATTGACCCCCTCCCCCTTTGGATACACCATTGAGAACAAAAAGTAATTGAGAGTATTACTATGCGTCAGATCACGAGACATTCATTACAGCAATACTCGTAGTTAAGGGGCATAAGCTTTTGAGGCCGGTGTCAGTAGCAGCTTGGCTATCCGGGAGGCGCCGCGTTCAAGGCAACATGGCCAACCTTTCGGCCGCCATTTTCCGACCTTCCTCAGGGCGAAATATTACATTCTTGACGTCTTGGCCGTCCGGGTGATGCCGCGTCAGCTGAGAGGCCGACGTTTCGTCTGTCATGTCGCAAGCTTCCTCAGGGCAGGGCAGAGCAGTGAGGAAGCCTGCGACAATGCAGGCGAAACGTCGGCCTCTCAGACAACGTCGCGTTGTTACCCGGGCAGCCAAGACGTCATGAACTCGACTAGAGGAAGCTTTCGCGTAATATTATATTCTCTATCGACTCCTTCAGCGGATTCGCTTGATACCTCATGGACACATCATCTCCAAATAAAGAGCGTTTCTGTGGTGACGTGTCCGCGCAGGGAGCTCCAGTTCCAGCCGCAGCGCCAGGCCTGCCTGCCGCCGCCCATCGACGTGGACGTGCAGCACATCGTCACGCACCCGGACTATAACCGCGCCACCAGCTACCACGACATCGCGCTGCTGCAGCTGGCGTGGCCGGTGGACTTCGTGCGGGAGGAGTTCGTGCGGCCCGTGTGCCTGCCCGCGGCCGCCGACCTGCAGAACTTTGCGCTGGACGGGAAGAAGCTGGTGGCGGCCGGCTGGGGCACCGCGGACTTGGAGACTGGCCAGGGGAGCGAGGTGCTGCTCGACGTGGTGGTCCCCGCCGTGGGCCTGCAGCAGTGCCAGGAAGCCTACAGGAGGGTGAGGGCTCAAGCTTCGCATTAGATTTGAATGGGGGTTCAGGGCAGTGTCATGTATACAGGTATACTTCGCAAATAAGCTCTTAAAATAATTTAAAGCATACTTTGTCTAATAAACTACTTGGGTATTCGAAATGATTACGCCGCTATAAGCACTCAAAAGTTGGTTTTAAAAAATGCCTTCTAGGCAAACATTTGCATTGCAGAAGCATGGAAACACTCCAGAAACATGTAAATTGTTTATTATTTACAAAAAATTAATATATTTGTTCAGAAAGAAAAAGTAATCAAAAAATAAAAAAAGCAGTCATTGGGTACTTTTTTTTACTTCTGTGTTAATTTTTCTTTCTATACAAATTTATTAATTTCTTTTGTAAATAATAAACAATTTACATATTTCTGGAGTGTTTCTATGCTTCTACAATGCAATTTTTTCTCTAGAAAGCATTTTTTCAAATCAACCTTTGAATGCGTATTGCTGCTCGGAATATCCCAGTAGTTTATTAGACAAAATATGCTTAAAATTGTCTTTAGAGCTTATTTGCGAAATTTCGACATTTCCTCCCCGGACTCTCTGTATATCTTTGATTATGGGTTAAGGCTCGTCAACTTTAAGGGATTCTGAATTTACAATGTATTGAGGCAGGTACGTGGGCCTGAGCAATAAGCCACGTCTCAGCCGAAACGGCATTCGAATGTTCCGGACACCTGCCCGATATGGCCACCCCGCGTTAGCAGTTGTTAGCAGTTTCAGTAGTCACAGCCGGCCTGAAATGTCTGAGAAATATCGTTAGAGGTACTGATTAAGTGATACTCTTTCTTTGTGACTTGCAAAATTTGCTCTTGCTGTTGGTGAGGGAATTTATATGAGAAAAAAATGTTCAAAGCGGAATCTCAACGAACCAATATTTTTCTGCAGTGTAACCACGTATAATTTACTTTTGCCAGCTTTTTATATTACCATTGGGCAGATTGCCGCATTGGGCAAAGTTTTACTGTAACTTGCATGATCTTAGTTTTTCATCTTCCTTTTCGTCAGTTGCCAGGATAAAAATTTCGTGTTTTTTCTTAAAATCCCGAATTGAGAATATCGTTCATTTCCATACACTGTCTGGGCATACTCAGAGCTGTTCGTAATGTCACTTTGTTCTGCGTTTCTGTTGTTTCCTCACAATTGGCGATTCGCAGCTTAATGATGGCCTCCTTACGTACTTGGATGAGCTACGACTGCCTCGAGTTTTGGAATTCATCTCCCGGTGGTTGCATTCGTGATTGAAGATCTGAAAGAGATGGCTGTCAACATTGGTTGGAAGGGTGAAGAACACGATGAGCTGTCATTAATTTCCTGATTTGCTTGTGTTCTGCTTGGGCTCTGTGCTCTGCTTGTGTTCAACTTTTAACTTAATTATCGCTTGTCTTGGAGATTAATAATCTATCCCTCCGTATATGCGCTAAGGATTTTGTACGATTTATAGAAGCAAACGACCCAAAAAACAACTGTTTGATAGGGAATTACTTTACTATGATGCAAGGAAGTCGAAAAAGGTAGAATTGACGCTGAACAAAAATTAGGAGGCGCATGTGCACGCAATTAGAAGGTCCAGGCGCACGCGCAGCAACACAAGTTTTTGTTTCGTTTGGCAGAGTTCTGTGCCCATTACAAATAGAATAAGAACCTAGTAATGTTTCTTAGGCCACAATCTACCAATTGTTTCCATCTCTTACATATTTAGATATTTAGCTCTTCTGGATGCCCACACTCGTTAGTAGGGATGACTACAAAGAAGCAGAATTTCGAAATCTATTAAAATTAAATTACATTAGCTTTTTAATATTCTGGGCAATGAATTACTTGCAGGTGTCTAAACCTACCTGATTACCACTTAATTACCACTGTCCCAATATTAATACGTTTACCCACACGCAAATACCGGATTTATATGTTAGGGGCCAGGCCGTCGGAGGTTGGAGTCCAGTATGATTAGGTTTTCTTATTTAAAACAATGATTTACGAAGAGTAGAATATTTTCCCATGTGCAATTAAACCCAAAATATTTAATTATTATTTCTAAGCGGGGATTTAATGAAATGCCTTTTTTTCACTTTAGAACAATGTATTTTAGTAAATACATTAATTTTACCATATGGCAAAAGTAAATAGCCCATGGAATACATTTTTTTGCATTTTTCGACGGTTTCGACTAATAAACATTTTTTTTTGATAAATACCACCAATCCAATCACCAACAATCCAATTAATAAAAACAATTTTTTACCTTTCCTCGTCATTTTAAAGCATTTTCGCTCATTTCATCGATTATTTTAACATCATTTTAATGTAACTTGTTTCAAATAATATTTATGAAATGCAACAATTACTTTACAGAATTCCTGAATAGCATATTCGATTTATTTATATGCTTCGATTATCTTAATATGCTAGTAAGAAATAATGCTCTTCAGCTTCCGGGTCAATGACCCCCGTCTCAATCAGGTTTTAGTCCAGTTTCCCTGATACATTGAGCAAATGCCGATATGGCCCCATTTTTTGCTTTTAGGCGTAAATGTATTTTCACTATGCACACGTTTTGTTCAACTCTCTTTTTGCTTGTAGTGCTAGGAGAAGATGTAAGGGTGAGTTACTATTTTGTTAGCAATGCAGAAAAATCAAACCTGCAGTTCGTATACCGTTGCAAATGTTTTCTATAACTCGGGAACGAAAATGTCTAGTTTTTCAAATCTTGCTAATCTCGCGCTTTTTAAATTTTACTTTTATTTATTTAAATTTTACTTCTATTTATCTTTAACTTTTACTCATCCTTCAACTATTTATAGTTAAAATGAAGGGATTCTGGAACTCAAGAAAATGTGCGCAGAAGATCTTCTCCACCTGATACGTCACATACAGTTTTTACTGTTTTTTTTTTACTAAAATAAATCTAAATTTCTTCCCTCAGAAATTGTAAGGTCAGCCGTTGTACTCTTAAGCATGCAATCCATGGTTTCTGTGACGCCTATTTCGCTGTCGGTTCGGCCGATTTTGCAATAACTAAGACAGATATATCCTGGTAAAGAATAGTCTAAACCACACTTTGCAAGCTGAGTTCACTTGAACGAAAGGAAGAAGCCTCTATCACATCAATAACATATCCAATAGCTTGAGTTGTTCAACTGGATTGGTTTCGATAAACATTTTTACGTCATTTTTCTTTGCTTTTTAGGCATTTTAAAAACATTTTAAGAGCATTTTATTGAGCATTTTTGATTATATTTTACATCATTAAAATCCACCCCCCTAATTATTACTTGCTCTTAATTTGCTCGCGAATAGACAACTTGGACCACGCATGCATGCACCCTACATTTACCGGAGCTCAATACCATTATCTTGGTAGCAGGTGCATATAACTTTATCTGGGGATCAGCGTTTAGCTGGATCGGATTTTTAATCCCCCAGAGATGTTATCCCTAGGGGTATGGAAGAAGAAATATTGATAGTGAGGGGTGAAAGGACAACAGGACACACAGACGCACACCCATTCTCGCGGCGGGAGTCGAACCCGTGATCTGGTCCGAGACCACTCGGCCCTACTGCCTTTGCGATTTCTGCCCCCTGATCGGTATTATTATTATTATTATTATTATTATTATTATTATTATTATTATTATTATTATTATTGTTGTTGTTGTTGTTGTTGTTGTTGTTGTTGTTGTTGTTGTTGTTGTTGTTGTTAGTTGTTGTTGTTAGTTGTTGTGTTTGTTGCGTTTGTTGCGCCGGTAGATCAAGACGAGCCGCGTGCTGACGCCGCAGCAGCTGTGCGCGGGCGGCGAGAAGGGGCGCGACTCGTGCACGGGGGACAGCGGGGGCCCGCTGATGCGCGAGGCGCTGGTGGCCGGGGAGGCCAAGACGGTGCAGTTCGGCGTGGTGTCCTTCGGGCCCCGCAGCTGCGGCACGGCGGGCGTGCCGGGCGTCTACACGCGCGTCGGCCACTACATGCAGTGGATCCTCGACACCATGCGCCCTTGACGCGCTTCAGGTCTGGAACAGCTGCAAATTTTCTCAAGGGAGGGGGAGGAGTTTAATAAGGGAAGTGGCGAACAAATTTGGCATGTAAGACATTAATGAATCTCTGACGGGTGGTAACTGTGTCTGTCGATGCTCCAAGGAATCGTTACTGAATGTATCCACGGCTGGAATCTTCAGATCGTATTTTGGTTCTTGCATTGTCGCTGCGTCTAATATGGGCTGGTAATGCAGACTATTCGGGAATCGACTAATTTTTAATTTCATGGAATGTCATGACGAAATGCTTTATTTGTTTTCAGACACAGTCTAAGAATTGATGTCCGAAACTCTGACACTCCTGTTGAAATTGAGTTGTCAGTGATAAATATGTATGAATACTCATTCATAGATGAAGGGGTGAAAATCAGAACAATGACATTTAAAAAATAATGAGAAAACGTGTTTATTTGAAGCTATATTTCAGTGGTTTTAATGAACAAATGAAATGCCGTAGTTTTAATGATGAAACAAATCACCACGACTTTACAGTGATATTGACTTAAACAAATTTCTCCGAATTTATAAAAAGGCACTTATACTGTTCTGGTTTTCACCCATTCGTATTTAATATAAAACTAAACATGTCAAACTCAAAATTTTTCAATTTTCATTATAATATTCATTTCATAATGGTTTCAGAAGATTCTATTGCTTCATGATTGATCTTAAATTTCAATTCATTTTTTGCAAGGTTTTTGCCGGTCACGTGGTAGTACGACGAGTTCAAAGGGGATTACAGTCCTCTCTTGTTTAGGCCATTAAGTAATTTATTCGAACACGATGTCGGAGAATGCGTGTGTATGTTTGTGCGTGCGTAGACGAGTGTATGCAAATTAATATAATTTCAGAAATGTGTTTATTGGTGCTTATAATACACATACATCATGCGGTACCTGCTGCAATGCCATAATTTAACTCTACATTTGCTAGCGCTTGTTAATAAGTAACTGCTCACTACCCTTCTCCCACGCGCGGATCCAGGGAGAGGGATATGTAGGAAATCTCCCCCCCCCACCCACTAAATTTTTTTCAATACCTTAATTTTAACTTATCTCGAAACTTTCAAGAAACATATTTTTGGATTATCATTAATCGAAAGCATTTTGAATTTCCTCTCCCAAAATTCGTTTCTGGACCCTCCCGTGCTTCTTTGTAAATAATGCCAAGAACAAATCAGAGAAATTTATCAATAGTGTTGTATTAGGAATAACATTTTAGAAACTTTATTGATAATCCACTTGCGCACAGCGTGGGGAGGAAAATTACAATAAACACATTAGAAATGTAAAAAAAAAACAATTTTCTTTTTCCCATAACTTTTGAACATGAAACTATTGTTATTTAATTAAAATGGATAAATACAGTGTCGAATTGAAGTGCTGAATTATAACTGTGGGTGATGTAATAGCATGTCAAAATACGGCAATAAGGTCAGATTTTTTCATTTTTAGCATACCAGCATTATAAACAACCTTTTCGATTAGCAAAATCATAATATTATATATTATTGCGTGAAACATTGCTAATGCTGCACGAAATATGAGTGATTGCCACAGTCCCCTTTCACAAACTAGGTTCTAGCAACAAGTAGAAGGCAGTCGTATCCTGTAAATATATTCCAGTGCTCGCAATAAAATCAAAAGTATTGTGAAAGAACTTATATTTGTAAAAACTAGTTTATGTTCTCTACTGAAAAAATTTGTTGCTTTTATTTGGAGATGTAGATCAATAATAACAAAGAACATCTAATTAATTTTTATGTATATGAGTAACAGTATTACAATTGTTTAAATTTGTGAAAGGCTTAAAGAAGGACTTAACTAAAAAATATGCTTGTTTTCTTAATTTTTCTGCATTAAACAATGTCTTATTAGTTTTTTTAACTATGTTAATTACTGATTCTGCTACATTTGAAGATCGCCACCCCTCCATGGCATTTAAGTGCACCGCCATCATCGGCAAGAAACATTCTGTCCTCCTAAACAAATGACCAGAATACTTTTCTGAGTTCGTACTGCCTACCCTGATGACTATGTACTACTTTAATACATTTGATAATAAAAAAATATGAAGTGGCTCTTACAATTTTGATATGATGTAAGTATTGTTTATCTGGAAATGTATAATGAACGTTCATTATCGTGGCACGAGTCATGTTTTCATTTCATATGTTTTCCGTCAGACAGTGCGCCATGCTACCTGCTTAGTCTCTTTTCACCGTACTCCGAGAAAACCCGCATGGAAGACTTCAATGTCCACTCACATGCAACCACGTAGAGCGTATTTACATTTTTTTTACAAGTTGACGAGCGAGGAATAGATTATAATTTAGAAAGTATTCAGTTTTCATTTTAAATTAGTATACGCGGATTATTAGTGACAGTTGATGTTTTTTATATTTAAATCTGATTTTACGGTAGTAATTTGATAGATACGGTGGATGAACTACTACGCACTTTGTTTTCTCGACTTAACGATGTAGAAAAGAGACAAATTTTGGATAGTAGTCGATCTACTCCTACGTTGAGTACGGTTGTAAATCATTCTGACGAGAAAAAAAGCAAGAAAATTCAATTCTTTCTGGTATGATTCACACAAATGGCTAACAGATAGTGAAGTCAAATTTAAGTTTTATTGTTTGCTACGTTTTTTATTATCAATTAATGAGAGAACTTGGAAAAGCGACAGATATTTTGACATGAAAAATTGATCAAGATCTATGCAAAAACCTGAAATGTCGAAAGATCACATATGTAAGTTAGTAAATTTAAACACCCGGAAAAAATATTATTTAAATTATTATCATTACTACGCAATTCCCAACACGTTTTTAGAATCTGAATACATTAAAACTTGCCTGCGCGTGTTGTATTGAAATAATGCTTTGAAATGTTTTATCAGTGAGACAATTATTTTGAATAAACAGAATAAAATAACAAAAAAATTGAATTGAGGTGGGGCCTGGCCACCTTCGTGGGATTCGCCGCTTTTCAGAAACCTTTTTTGCCTACCCTGAACATTTGTTAACGAGGCTCCACTGCTATAGAATCGTGCAAAAGTGTGTGGTAAAACCTTTGTTGACAACTGAAATTAGTTGAATCGGAAAGGTAAGTTGATGTGATGACTCTTGAGTTGAAGGTTTTCACTTTGTCCAGATGATTGATGGCGATGTGGATTTGGATGTTGATTCAGACGCGTTTAGTATTTGATGGCACGTTGTATTATTTTTTTGTATATGGAGGGAATTTTGAGATCTTGTATGGTGTTGTTAGATAAGTACCAGGGTGCCTGAAAAAATCGAACTTCGGATAAGATGCATTCATGCAGTATGGGAGACAACACCTTCTCTGACAAGTAGAAATTAAGCGATAATTACCAGTTTTCTCAAAATTGTACATTTTTTTCTGGCAATTTTTTAAGACTGAGAAAGCGAAAATGAAATAATATCATAAAGTTATGAATTCATACATGGATTTCTGAATCATGGATACATTTTCTATTTCCATAAGTACATATTTATATTTAAATAATTCTATAAAAATATAATTGCATAAGTTACGTAATATAATTTTTTAGTCCCATTGTCAAAATCGCAACGCTTAAACAAAGTCCCTCTGTATCACTGTACACAAACAAATAGAGAGGGACTTGAACAAAAATATCGATTATACTTTGACGCGTAGAGGCGCTCGGAAACGGTTTGCCACCATGCGCAACATTGAGCAACCTGTGCGGTTTCAGCCAATCACTTTAATGCATCAGTTAGCGTCACCTCTGGCGCGGGAATTGTAAATGCAGCCCAAAACCCAACCATCATCACCCTACTATAAGTTATGGAAACATATTTAGAGCAATATATCCGAATTTGCTTCATAAAAAATATTCGTAATCTCATACAAAAACACAGATCTATTCCATTTACTTTCTATTTGTTTAATACTTATTTTGATTGTCGGCAATCGAACTGATCAGTATCATCGCATTTACCAACCAATAATAAAAGATAAAAAGGAATTTACATCTGTAGAGTCATATCAACGTCAATTTCGTATTTAATACTAGCAAAAATGTTTCTTTTTGTAATAAAAACTTTATTTATTTGGCAGAATTATTTTCAAGAAGTGAATGTGGGTGTATTCTAGTAATTGATACCACCTTGGAAAACTGAAATGCTTTCACATGTATTCATAATATAGAAAATAACAAGATGCCGTTTTCAAAATAAGTTGGAGATAATCAATTAATTTTTCATGTCAATACTTTTCTCAGTCATATATTTAGTAATGTATTTTCATAAAATAAGGGTCTTAAAGAATCGTCAGTGAGAAATCTGACAAATATTGAGTTACTAATATTTGAACATTATTTTATCTCAAAATGTGGTGAGACGTGAAAAGTCATAGTTGTGGTCATTGCCTTTCTCAAACTGACTAAACAGAGAATTAAATAAACAATAATTTTCATATTTTATGAACCATAATTCATTTAAAAAATTTGGACTTTTCTGTCGAACCCTAGAAGTACAGTTCTTATAAATTAAATCACATTACTTCAAAGATGTATTCAAAGCCCCCTAAAATACTTCAAACTAATATTTTACATTTGTATAATACATATTTGTATTTCCCTTATTATTATTACTATATTAATTATTATTATTATTATTATTATTATTATTATTATTCATTATATCATATTATCATTATTTTTTATTATAATATATTAATTAAAAATAATAATAATAATAATATAATAAAATAATAATAATAATAATAATAATAATAATAATAAAAATAAAATTTATGAGTCACATACACAATTACATCGTGTTGATGAAGTCAAATATGTATAAATTACAATCTTGGGCAGGCAGCGATGAAGTATCATTTATTTTATTATCCAGAAGCAAAACAAGGGCGATCTCAACGCATTTGCTCAAAGAACCAAGGGAAACTGGAACA